TTCACCGTAGTGATAGTGCCTTCAGAGGTTTTGCCAGCTGCTATTGGGCCAACATTTTCCCAGCAACAATTGCACTAGGCCCACTAGGCATGTTTAAAAGCAACATTGCCAATGTTGGGGCCACACTAATTGGAGATTCCTGAATCAATGACGCGCCTGGAAATGTTCCGGTTTGTAGGGCTGAGTCTCCTGGTTCTTGAACTCCTCCTTTGCAGGCATATCCGCCTCCACAAAAACACAAGCAACTCAAACAGTCCATAAAACATGCGTTCAAAGCATGCAAGTGAGACATCATCAGTCATGTTCTCCAATCTCTCCTGAAACAGATCAAGTGAGTTTTTTAAATCTTTACAAACAGTTCGGAAAACAATGGAAGCAGTTCAGAAGACAGTAACAGTCCTTGATCAGCTGCTCAGACGAACACATCGAAGACAGTGGTGTGCTCACACCACCGCTCATGGCCTGCCAAAAAGGGCACTCAGCATGCATGAACAAATTCAAACAGAGCTCTCCTGACTGTCTTCCATGCCATCCCGGGAAGCTGAGCCCCTTGATGAACGGTCACGCTTCTTCTGGCCGAATGGGATGCTGTGAGACACACGCAGGACACATGCACGTTTGAAGTTTAAGCCTCCCGGGGTCCAGATACCCGGCGGACAATCTCTTTGAGCTCGGAGATGCGGGATTCATGTGGCCCTCGCCTCCGCAACACACAGGCTATTTAATAAGTTTGCAAACATTGCTCATTTGAACTTTTTTCAATGCCACTCACCCCCGCCTGACCCCACCTGACCGTCTTTCGGTCACTAAAAAGTCTGCCACTAACCCCCTCCAGTCTAGGGCAGCCTCATAGGCCTCCACCTGATGGATCAGTCTGAGAAAAGAAAAGCAGGATGAATGAATTGAATAGTCCTTGGAAAAAGAATTGAGCATCCATTCAAAATCACGGCCTTTTGATACTTCGGCTTGGTCGTGTACAGAAACCGAAAGACCTCATTCTTTTCTAAGATCGCTGCCTGATGCAAAAAAGATAATGGTGCACGATGCAAAAGCCTCATGCACTGGCCTGGATCTCATGTCCCATGGGGGTCTCTCGCCCCATCAACTCGAACCACTGCTTGAGGAGCTCGAAGTTCACCGTGATCTGAACAAGTTCAATGTCAAAATGACCAACGTGCGCAAATTAGTAACTGCCTGGTCCTCCAAAGGCTCTTCACTGTCGAAATCGTCGAGCCGTAGTGAGAAGGATCCCTTCCTCATGCATGCATCCTGCATCATGCAAAAAATAAACCACCAACCTATATATATATATTGTAATAATGTCTCCTTGTCTTTCGAATCCTTGACCTTAGCGTAGACCTTCTTGTTCTTCTCATGCCTGCGTAAGGCCTCCTCATCAGTGATCTGCGAAATCCACTCCTGGCCAGGGTGACCATGATCAAAGGTGAACCTCTCAAACGAAACAAGCCAGGAAAACCATGACCCGTTTGCATCTTTCTTTTGAACCACGGTAGCTCAGGTATTTGCCACCCTTCGACGAAGTCTCTGCCATGAACAGGCTTCAATGCAAGTGCAGTCTGCTGCTGAGCCAAACCGCTGTCTCTAGAGCAATGGAACCTTCTGCATGGACAAGCAAGGAAATCTGCAAGAATGACGTGCGTGAAACGTTGCAAAAAACAAGAGGTGCAAGGGCACGTGACATCTCTGCGGCCATCTGACCTTAGAAAGTACGACAACCGACATGAGACCCTGGCAAAAAGCGACGAGTTTTGAGTGGCGAACGGCGGATCTTCATTCGCTTCATGGCCGGCCAGCATTGAATGCGTCTGCAAAAATGATTGGAATGACTTCTTTGAAAATCGAATGTTACTGAGACACACATGGCATGGCAGGATCAACCAGGCCTCTCCGAAAAAAACGGAGCCAGCTCGTGGACGTCACTGAAGATTCAAGTCCATGTGCAAAGGAGGGGTAGAACTGAAACACACAGAAAATGAAATGCACAAACTATGAAAACCATCACGAATCTGTGTAATTAGTTCTTCTTGCTGTTGAGGTCCATACGTGATTTAGTCCAGTATACGTTCTGCTGTCCCAGCCGGCTTGAACGGATGGCAGTGTGCCCCCTCAAGAAAGCACAACGAAGATGCACAAGTTCTGCTTCAAAAACGGAAAGTCGGAGGCATTCTGCTGTCCGAGCCGGCTTGAACACATGGTGTTGCGCCCCCTCAAGAAAGCACAAAGATGCACAAGCTCTGCTTTAAAAAACATCCACATGGACGAAACGTTTAACACCGGACCATACAAGTGCACAACGAAATTTCAACATGATGTGAGTAGACAGTACGTTTATATACACAAACATGGCACAGAAGCGTTTCTAAAATGTTTAGTGAACAGCTGACCAAACTGCTTGAAAAAGTTCACCACAAGTTCTTTTGTCAATTTCGTCTAATCCGAATCATCTATCATTTTTTTAACTTGGGCCAGTTGATCCAGTAGTCAAGCTAATTATCGCGGCGATGATCAATTTTGAATATATAGCTTGAAGTTCCAAGAGCCAGCTGCTCTGGCCATCCTAATCATATGCGTGTACTAGTAGTGGCCATCCTATATATATATATATATATATATATAGCTAGCTAGTGGCCATCGCCCTCATCGTCGCCATATTTGGTGCCCCATCGCACTCATCGTCCTCATTATTGGGCCCCCATCGTCGCCACTGGGGGCCATCGTCCTAATTTCGTTGTGGTCGTCGCAATTTCGCAGCCCTCGCACCCCTCGCCCGCACATTTTGGAGACATTGGAGGGCCAGGGTTTAAGAATATTGAGATTCGCGAGATCGAGGCGTGGCGCAATGAGGCCGACAAAAACTTGATCGTCATCAGCTCCACGGCATGTCCAAGATCCACGCTGAGACATGGCTGAATTTTCTCTCCCTCGACGACGACTGGAAGGATGAAGCCACCAACATGCGTCGTCTCAAGAAACGCTCATTGTCGGAAACGACTGGGGAAGAGTCGGGGGATGACCTGATCGATGTCGATGATGACGACGACATGGACGTCGATGCCGATATTCCGGCAGACGAAGAAGATGATGATGTTCAGGTCATAAGTACATTAGATGCAGCCATGGTGGACGATCTCGCAGAAGCATGCCAGAAAGGAACCTGGGTCAAGAAAGGCACTGTGAAGAAGGAAGAGTCCGATATGCCGGACGATCCTTCAGCAGCAGCCTCATCGTCAGCAGCAGTCAAGAAAGAAGAAAAGCAGAGCACAAGGGTTTGGTCCTCCCGAGCACGGTCACGAACACCATCTCGCACTGTCCTTAAGAAGGCTGACCATGCACCGGGAATGGCCCGCACTCCATCCGAAGGTCGCAGAGTCTCGTTTTCCGATATTCCGGAAACGAAGTTCATCGAAGCAACATCCAAGAAGCGTGCGACCTCGCGAGCGCGGGAAGTCATCAGCGATGCAAGGAAGGCTCAGAAAGCACCAACTAAGTTCCATCATCGCCCAGAAGAGATGACTTGCCTTACCTGCGCAAATGCTGAGGTACTTTTCTTTTGCCGAGCATGCCGACATGGAACATGCCTTGACTGCTATCACGATGTCAGTAACCATTGTTCATGCAACAGCATTTATCTCTGTTCGACAGTCCCAGACGCCGATATTCCGGCACCGCTGGGCGAGCACGAGCGCGAAGAGATCACGGCAGAAATCGACTTCACGATTCCCTTCGCAGCCGAATCCGAGGGTTGGCACCCGGACGACCGATATGTCGGTCGATTGCACCGTCTGCAAGAAATCAAAGATCTTGTTCTCGGTGGCGGCTCAACAGGTTATGCAGCGATGGATCGAATTGTCCTCGAAGGAGTCAGCAAATACCATTACACGAACCATCCAACCTACAGGAGCCGTTCCATTCCCTCGATTGCTCAACACTGGGACGAACAGTCTGATGTGGCACCGTACCCAATCATTCGGCCAAGCTGCTTTTACGACTCCAATCGCCGATATACCGGCGCGGAGATGCGACAGATTGTCGAGTTAAATGTTAAATTCATTCTATCTGGATTGAATTTCAAGGTATTTGGGTTGCATGAATGGTCTTTCCAGAGCCCATTTGATTTGCTGAATATGTTACTAAAACCAATTGCATACAATTACTTAAACCACAGTCTCAACCGGCTGTTCATATCAATTGAAATGTTGGCTGGGAAGCCGTTTTTTAGTTTGAATTGGGAAGTGGAGTCATTCTGATACTAATTTCATTATGGCTGGGAAATCGTTTTTTCCGGCTGGGAAGTCGGTTTTTCCGGCTGGGAAGCCGGCGTCTTTAAATTTTCCGGCTGGGAAGTCGGTTTTTTCCGGCTGGGAAGCCGGCGCCTTTAAATTTTCCGGCTGGCGGGAAGTCGTTTTTTTTCCGGCTGGGAAGTCGGTTCTTTCCGGCTGGGAAGCCGGTTTTTTGCGACTGGGAAGTTGCGCTTTCAGGCTGGGAAGCCTGCTCATTTTCTGCCACTCCGCTCAAGCCAACCGGGGGCTTGAACGGGCGCATGGGGAAGCCTTCAGACCGTCGGGCCGCTCAGCTTCGATCAGCGCGTTTTTTCAACTCAGTTGCAGCAGCGTGCGCCAAATCCTTTCATTTTGCCTGCAGCTGTTCCACGCATCTTCAAACGCGCCCATCGATTTGTTGAGCACGTGGCGTTCAGGACTGTTTACTACTGAACTTCAAAATTACTCACAACTCCTGATTCCTCAGCGCTTCAACGTTGTCCATCGTTGTCCTTGGTCCAGTTCCATCTTCAAGTGATTGACTTCATTTGCAGGACATGGCGCATACGGAATCATCGGATGATACGGTGATCCCCATGACTTCCAGCGAGATGTCGGACAGCGACCTACTTTCCATTCCAGGACTATTTTTTTATCAAGGGTGCGCATGTTTCATTCCGCGTGTGTTGATGAGCTGTTTTTATCTTTTTGCAGTCACTTTGCATTCTTTAACATTTAAGCCTCTGTTTTCTTCATTTTGGCCAGGACAGATCGCATTTCCCGTGGCTTCGCCCCGCACACCGGTGGCTGCGCCCCGCACACCACCCATCCTCTTGGAACAAGCCCGTGTCTTGCCAGCAGGCATGATGAACAAGTCAACAACGTTTCAGTGGTCGTTGAACCGTGGAGTTGAGAGTGGGTAGTAAATCTGGTTGGAGGGTAGCTGCGTGGCCTAGGACTCAAGGAGATTGCGGAGGCGGCGACGGAGGTCACTGTGAAAGTTTCTTCAAAGAGAAAGGTCACAGTGGTGATCACCTGCTCGGAAGAGCCAGCTCTCAAAAAGTAGTGTGGTGATGGCACGATTGAAACAATTTTTGGCTAAAACCTTTTAAAGAGAGCTGGATGGAAAGTGCGATTTTCCTACCGCATATTTTTCACACACGCAGTGGGAACTGTGTCTGACTGGCCAGTCTGGGAAGACATTGTTGACTTTCGGCGCTTGAGATTAAAATCCATTTCGGTTTGAGGAGAGTCGCTTTCACATCTCATGTCATGATGCCCACTGTCCATCATGTCACGCCTGTGCCCGGTCGCTGTCACTGTCCATTCGGTTACTGTCCATTATGTCGCCCGGTGCCCAGGCCAGAATGCAAGTGGACCAGGCTGGACTGTGGGAGTCCCTGTGGGAGTCAGCAAAAAACAAGAAGTCAAATCAAACCAGATGTCATCAGTTTTTTCAAAGTCTGCAACTTACTTGCAGTTGGAGTGGTTCTTTCTCAACAAAAGATTCTCAAATGCGATTCTACAGCTTCCCATCCTTTTATGTCTGGAAGACATCGTTGACAAAGTCGCCACTTGAAAAAAAACCTCTCGCATCATCGCATCTCCACTTTTTGCATCTCACATGTCGAGTCGCGTCAGTCAGTCTATTGCGCCCGCTGCCCAGGCCAGTATGCAAGTGGACGAGGCAGGACTGTGGGAGTCAAGTCAAGAAGTCAAACCAAGTGTATCGTCAGACTAAAGTCAAATGTATGCAGCTTACAGACAGCGACGTGACTCTCACAAGTGAATCCATGGCTTCCCAGCCCTTTCTTCAAATGTGGTTCTTGAGACTTCCCAGTCTCTTCCAATTTCCCGGCCCGCGGAGGTGAAGTGACGGTCATTGTTGGGCGCCCTAGCGGGTGAAACTCACAGGTAGATGAGAGACATGACCGCAAGCCTCGTGAACTGTTGTTCCTAGATTTGATTGCTTTACAAATCGTAGGATATTGTTTGGGTGCGAAGGTGTTAGTTCTTATGGCTGGGAAGCCTTGTTTGGGTGTGAAGGTGTTAGCTCTTATGGCTGGGAAGCCTGGCTGGGAAGCCTACAATATGGACATTGTTGCATGTCAATCACATTCAAACACCTCCAAACTCCTGCAAGATTCTGGCTGGGAAGCTTGAGATTGCTAAGATGAAAAGGCCAGCATCCTGCGCCCTAGATTCCCTAGATGATGAGCCCCGTATCGTGCTACCAAGGATGCATCTAGGCAGCAAAAAGTTTTACAACAATTCCAATGAGTGAGTTAATGATGTGAATCACATGTTCCATGCCAGCCTTTGAACTTCAGCCCACGCCATCTCAGATCATCTCAGGTCGCCGTATCCTGCACCACGCAGCTTGAAGGAGATCAACTCATGGCCAGCTGTATTGCTGCAAAGGGCGTGTGATTTCTGGGGGGAATCACAGGTCAAAAGAAAATTGAGCCTCTTGTTGGAACGTGTCACGTTTATGGTGTTTGTCGATCAGCAAAAAACGCAATATCCTATGTTCATATATGCAGAAACTTGTAAGAACTGCTATCATTACTCTTTTGTATAGTATATGTAGTACCCTAAGGTTCAATTCAATGGTGCGTGCACAGCCTATTCAGCGGAGTCGAGTGTTTCCGAGAAGCCCTGGCCATATTGAAGACGGTGGTCGCGGACCGCTTTGGTATAGAATTGCGGATGGGCTATGGATTGATGGTTTCTCAACCCGTTTGAAAGAATTTCAGATTCAATCATGTCTATTATTCTTATATTAAGTTGATCGCGCTCTTTCATTGCTTTCTGCCCTACTTTCGTTGGACTTACCGCAGTCATTGAAAGAACCTTCGCTCGACAAAGCAATTTCTTGCTTCAGGTTGAGAAGAACCGGGCCTGCCGAAGACTTCTTTCGACTCACTTCCCTGAGACTTGCTTGGTGGACGACGTCAAGCATATGCTTGAGAAGCAGCCCAAATCAAAGCGTTGGGCCCCCAAGAACTTGGAGTTGGTCGACAGGTTTGACTGCTCAACGCATGGCAAGCAGTGCCCAGGCTTTAGATTGATGAGGCTTTAGAAAAGTTGTCTGCTTCGATAGTTTGTGATCTCAGTTTGCTGGTTTCCCTTGCGATGACTTGCAGGTGCCGTTTGGTCAAGACCTCGAGCAAGCACGTCGTTGTTGGGGTGCTTGGCGCTCCTTGCATTTCACATAGCCAGAGTCTTGCCTTCACTAACTTTTTTCTGAATCGAATCACTTGGAGGGGAGTGAGTTGCAAAGACTTCTAAATTCTAAGTTGTATTTAAAGTTGACTAAGGATGGGGAACAAGGACGGTTTCAATAATGTGCAAACCAAACAGCTTCATGATATCAGCACCCGGTTCATTATGGAAACTGCATTCAGCCTCCACGAGAATGTGACGCAATTCGATGAGGATTGGCCTGTGATTGTGTGTTGTGGCTTGTAGCTTGCTTCTAGCTTGCTTTGCTTTAGCCACTCTACTCCACTGAGTTGCCAGGATGAGTATTTGAGTGAGCAACTAACTCATTTCCGGACAGAGAAAGCCCTGTGCTTTGTTTGCGTTGGGTGTAAATGTTTGAGAACTGGATTCATATGTATTCCATTTAAAGCGGTTTCACTGCGACTTGTCAGCCTGAGGCTTTCTCCTCGCTGCTTTGGTGAGCCTACGAATAGAGACCGGGCTTACAGAATCCTCTTCAACGAGAACAAAATGAAGTGGACATGCCCATACTCATTTGATGATGTTGTCAAGATTCTCTTGCTGCCACGGGATACCACCGTTGCGATATGTCCATCAATCTTCATGTATGAAAGCCCCAAAAAGGATCCACACTTCTGCCCTTCGGCCTCAGCGTTTTTGAGGGTCTATCGTGAGATGTTTCCAAGCAAGCAGTTCTATGACCTGTCAAGCAATCCGGAGTTTCGAGCTCGAACGGAGACATCGGACGGTGCTCTGATGACTCTCACGACGAACACTCATATATGGTGCCTGGGCTTAAGTTTGTTTATTCGGCCACAGTGTGCACACTTGGACATGATGCTGTCTTGAAAATAATTCGTTTGTGGCCTCAAGCTGCACTTCAATGAGGTCCAACAAACATGGAAGATTTTGGACAGCGCGGGAAATGCTGTCTACTCTGGGGTATCCTTGCAACCCTCGGTCATCAAATGATTTGGGAACAGAGTCTCACCTTGAACACTGCAACTTCTACACTTGAGTATGAATCAGTGACATGATGCTTATTATTTGCGTGGTTCCAAAGCATGCTGCGCTGACAACCTGAGGATTGCCGCAAGCTTGAGGGTGCTTCCAACGCTGCCATATCAAAGATGGCCGGCAATGGCATGCATTTGCCGAGTGCTGCGATCACAGCTTTGGTGGCGATGCTGTGCTTAAGCCCGGCGCCACACAATTGACAGCACACTGGTAGTCAAATTCAAAATTCAATAACTACCATAGATATGGCTGTCTTTTGCAGGTCGAAAAAATGTGTTTTGAAGCGCAGGCCTCTCATGCAGTGTGTTGGTCGTTACGGGCTGGGAAGCCCTTATAACATTGACCTTTTCATAGATCTTGTGGCTGGGAAGCCAGATTAACCTTAGTCGAGCGTTGGTGAAAAATATCCTTGATGTAGTGGCTGGGAAGCTGTCAGAAGCGTAGACAATATTAAACAACCACCCTGTTCAGCTCTGATGTTGGCAGCTGAAAACCAACGGTTTTGTGCAATGCAGCGCAACTCTAAAGAGCCCAACAATGAACCCTTATAATCCTTGGGGTGAGCACGAACTTTTCACGACCATGGTAAACAAACGATGCTGTAGATTCATAACCATGATACTGTGCAAGCGACAATTTTCTGATCTCCGCTTGCGCTGCCATGACTGCAGATATGAAGGAGCATGTTCGCCCCAGAACCGGAGGAGAAGCCGAGGCGAAAACAGTTGGACAAAGCCACCAAAGAGACTAAAAAGACCGGGCCTCCAATTTTTGGATTCGAGCCGGAAGAGAGGCCAAGAAAGGCTGCAGCCCTGCGATCTCCCCGTCCTTTCGCAGATGAACCCGAAGAAAAACCACGAAGGAAACGGCCTGGTGATTTTGAAATTGATGTCGAAGAGTCAGAGCAGGAAGATGAACCAACAGAAGCGGCGACTATAAATGTTACGTGGAGCGGATTGCTGATGTTTCAGCGATCCAGATTCTTGGGAGCTGCCGCGGAGCAGCCACCAACCAAGAAGCGACCATACAATAACGCACAGAGAGCTGCAAATGCTCAGCCGAGGGGGGATGACAAATCCTTCAAGGCTAAAGCGATGACACCTGGACGGTTGGAAGAGTTGAAGAAGCTGCCAACCTGCAAGTGTGCCTTGCTGGATATCCATTTGTCTGGTGTTTGTTTAGGCCCTGCGGACTTGTGCCTGTCAGTCCCAACTCCGCTCGAAAGCTTGAGGTGCTTTGCAGACCTGTTTCCGTGACCTGGCCCTCAAGGATGCCAATAGCTTTGTCTCAACCTTTTGGGACATGGGCAAGTGCGAGCAGGATTCCTTTGTGATTTGGCTTGAAGTGGATTACCCTAAGCAGGCTTCCAATAGAACCATTGTTTGGTTTGCTTGGCAAATTGATGCACTTTCCAACAATTTTCACTTGGCTTGCCCGCATCTTAGTTGCACACTATGATTGGCGGTGTGAAGGAGGTCACGGAGTTCACATTTCTGAACCGAAAGGTTGGCCGAGCGTGCCTACGTTCAATGCTTGGCATCGGTGTGAACCGCCTGCGCAAAGCAGCAACAATGATGCCCGACATGCGGTTGGGCAAGGACAAAACTGGGAGTCAGCGAGACACATACTCAGTTGATGCATTCCTATCCATCATGTATGAAGGAGTGGCGGAAGTGCTTCCGGACAGGCAAATGTTGATGAAAACAATAATCAGTTTTGCCGCAGTTTTGCCATCAAACTTAAACCAAGTAATATATTTTACATTTGACAACGGAGATCCTGTCAGATTCGTTCGACGTGGGCGTGCTGCAGCCAGCGATGACCCTGAGTGGGACTTGGAGTCAGATTGCCAAGATCAAGAAGACTTGCGGGATTTTCTGGATAAGCCCGGCACTGGTGCAATTTGGGCATCTTTTCAACCAGAGGAAAAGAAGCTAACAAAGTTCTTGCCACCAGGAACCGTCCATGATTTATACACACACAACACATCGACAAGGAGTCTTTTCGGAGCTGTGGCCGTGTCGTGTTTGAGTTGCACGTATGAGTTGTAAGACATCACATTACTTATATAATCCTGGAGAAGACATTTTTTGATTGAGGGGTTCCACCCTGACTGGCCTAGGTATTCCACATTCTTGAGGGTATACCAAAGCCGGTGGAAAGACGTATTGAAATTTAGAGCTCGGAGCATGTTTCTGGGCGTCAGCGGATTGTCTTTTTCTGCAATTTGTGCAATTACAGGGGCTGCCGTTACAGCATTCAGAAATAGAATCACGTCTGACTTGGAAACTTTATGTTGGTGAGGTTCAGCCAATGTGAGCTTTGCTACAACTTCAAGCAAGACCTTTCAAGTACTTCATTGAGCATGGAGGCTCGCCTGGGAACGTTGACAAAGTACCGCCGCCACTTGGCGGATCAGTATAGCGACCGATGCATACTTTGGTCTTTGCAAGAAGCCGCTTGCGACCCTCAGTCAGACCTGGTCATCATGTGCACCGACGGGATGGATCAAGGTAAATTCCGCTTACCTCGATATCCTGGTCATCGTGCTTCCAGCGCCGTGGCAAGTGCCAACAGGCCAAAGGTCAAGCTGCACGGTCTTTGGGTGTGGGGCGCCTCTGATTTTATCAGGAAAACTTTTTAACATTTGGGATTGATTGGTGGAAAACAGACCTCAAGCAGGGAATAGCAGGGAATTGCTACATTATATTTGCATTCAAGGCTACACATTGGAAGTCAGAATACTCGATGAAAGTACAAGACATGATTCAGCAGCTATCACAGAGCAGATCGCGCAGGGGCTCGAAAGAGTCATGGCCATCTGCGCAAAGAGAGGTGAAAAACCTCCAAGCAAACTCATAGTATGCGGCGACAACACGGTGAGAGAGCTGAAGAACAGGTATTGCATGCAATACCTGATGAACCTTGTCGCGAGGCGCAAGGTCAGACTTGCAGGTATGTACTTCCTGCGCAAGAGTCACACACATGACAAGATTGATCAACTATTTGGAATCATCGCACGTCGTATCTCGAACACTGATCAGATGCTGAATGCTAGCGAATCTAGTCAATGTGTTGAGGAATGGTGTGCGTTTTTTGTTTGTGGGGAAGTTCATGACGCAGGATTCAACCTACATGTTGCTTTTGGATACCTGTGATATTAGAACTAGTTATTCCAATACATTGGGGCAGCCAAGTGACCTAAGGACGTTGTGGAGACCGTCAAATCTGAACTCTCACGCCCAGGGGTTCGCCATTGGATAGGCAGCAGAACTGAAGTTCACGTGGAGACAATGACAGCCTGTCGAGACTGGCGCCATCATTGGCTGCCGCAGGGCGCGTCTATGGAGGGCGGCCTCCTTGACGACGCCAGCGCTAACCACGCTTTCTTGATGATGCAGAAAAAAGGCGATGGTCAAGGGTTCTGAGGGTTTGTTCTCAGTCATTTGTTCAATTACTACATGCTTTAGAGCGACATTTGATAACGTTGTCATGGTGGCATGGGTTGCTGCCAGTGTGCTATGACTTCCCAACCAATCAATGACACATCTTGACTTCCCAGACTACTATTCGACTTTCTGTTCCTCACTGAAATCACATGAACTTGGCAGATCTACCAGACCAGCTGGCAGCGGGCATCGATGCGGGTTCTTTCCGTGGTGGTACACTGCCACAAGACGTGATTTGCTTAGTCAAGAGGCGCATCTGTGATTGTGTGTTTCTGAGTCCCCAGCTTTTTTAAAAAATATTGGGAGTCAGGCTGCCGGCTAGTTATTGTTTCCAGGCACATCTGTGACGGAGCGCTGGGACAGCCTCCGCTCCTTCTTTTGCCGCAGACTTGGGCCAATCGGGTCTCTCTCATTCCGCGGGAGAAGTTGTTTGGTGGAGATTAGTAAATTTGTTTTTGAATATGCTATGGTCTCAATGGCTGAAGATCTAAAAGCAATAGATGATTTATGTTGTTTCAACTTTCGTGATCAGAGCAAGGCATGCGAACAATCATTCTGAAGCTTTCAAGAAGAACATGAACAAGCTTGCAGATCTTTTCCAAACTGCCTATGGGCAATCCTTTTACAAAGCCATTGAGTATCTCAAGGACTAGTTGTTGTTTTTAAGTGAGGGTGACAGAAGGATCCTTGTGACACACCTTGTTGGTTTTTGGAGGTCAGCGGAACCACCCCCTGAAGGACTTAGCTGAAAATCGCCGGTGGGAACGCCAGCCCTTGGTTGATTTGCCGTGGCATGCCGCACCGGGTCAGCCATTGATAGGAGAACCTGAGTTCGTGTTGCACCAAAGCATCCTAGACGCGATAGCGCCGGCAATGCCCTTAAAGGCTGTCTTTTCTGGAGCGCGCAGGTGAAAATCGAAGGCTCAATGCTTCAACTATAGTTTTAATTCAAGCTTGGGATGGAAGGCTGGGAAGCCAAGGCTGGGAAGCCAAGGCTGGGAAGCCACGGCCGGGAGGCCAAGGCCGGGAGGCCACGCTTAAACTTAGCTGTCAAGCAAGCCTATAATGGAAATATATTGATATTGATGGACATTGATTCTTGCAAGCGCTATGTGCATGTTTTTCAACCGCCACAGCTCTGAGGCCAGACGTGATGCCTGAAGACGCCCAGAAAGGCCAGCTAAATGGGAGAAACCGAAATGATGTTATTCTAGAAATCATCTGTGAAAAATCATGGGTTCACTTTTTGGCGGAACCATCGATGCACTTTTGGTGTCGGAACCATCGATGCACTTTTGGTGTCGGAACCATCGATGCACTTTTGGTGTCGGAACCATCGATGCACTTTTGGTGTCGGAACCATCGATGCACTTT